TTGAAGGGTTTAGGGTTTTGGGCCGGTTTCGTGCACACGATGGGTTAACTTAGTTCCTCAACGCTATGTGGTTCCAATGTTCAGAGGAGTTGAGAGATTGGGCTAAGTGTGAGCACGAGGAGCCGGCAGTAGACCTTGTCAACGAAAAGCCTTGAGGACAAATCTCAGCTTAGAGATTTGATTGGACTCGTTGGCTATGTGAGCACCCTAAAACCTATACTTAACTTCACAAGCCCGAAACTCCGAACGCAAATCGGAACCCCCGCCGGGACCCTAAATGGGGTTCAGGGCCCAGGGCCTCCCCACCCCCCCCCAGCTGCAGTGAACCGAGGGCAAGAAGTCGAGCGTTCGCCTGCCTGGCTGTTTTTGTAGTGGGTCATAGGGGTTTTAGGGGTTTAGGGTTGTATTAGGGGTTTAGGGGTTATAGGGTTTGGATGTTTAGGGGTTCAGGGGTTTTAGGGGTTTTAGGAGTTTAGGCTCTGCTTGGGCACACGTTCTTAGCAGAGGGAGCCCGAGAGCAAGCCCCCTGGAAAAGGGGTTTAGGGTTTTGTAGGGTTTGGAGGTTTGGGGTTTAGGGGCTTTAGGGGTTTTAGGAGGGGTTTTTAGGGGTTTAGGGCTTTAGGGTTTTGGGGGTTTAGGGGTTTAGGGGTCTAGGGTTTAGTTTTTGTGTTTTCGGAATCCTTCTGAAGCCGGTGGGATATTGAACAAACGGAATCCCCAAAGGCCAAAGCCCTAAAGCCAGATACTTGACCCAGCAACCTACACCCTACACCCAAATAACTAAAGCTGCCAGATTGAATTATTAATAAAGCCTTCGAGACGCCATGGGGCCACACGGTACGCATAAGCCAATGACCTACTACACAGGTTGCTGGGCTTTCCAGGGCTTGTTGTTGATCATTAGACTACGGCTTCCGGGTGTATTTATATCATCGTAGAGGGACCAGTTGAAGACGGTGTTTTATGGTGTTTTCAACTGCTCCTCGGAACCTGTATCATAGTATACTACCCTTAATCCCGGAATAAACCCTAGACCCGAAACTTTTCGAGTCACTTTAGGTGTTGGCATAATTATGTTGCTTGATATTTCCATGGCCATCCCACTAGACTGTCTCACATTGCCAGACTCCGAACCATAAGCCTCGCCTGGATTGTCCGAGTGTGAGCGCCGAAACTTTTCAACCCTAAACCTCTAAACTCCTGAACCCCTAAAACCTAAAGCCTAAACGACCTTTTACACCCCTAGACACCCAAACCCCTGAACCCCTAAACCAAGCAGGAGGAACAAAACCTCTAAACCCCTAAACCCTAAACCCCTAAACCCTCAAACCCTTAAACCCTAAACCCTAAACCCCTAAACCTTAAACCCTAAACCCTAAACCCCTAAACCCCTAACCCTCAAACCCTTAAACGCTAAACCCTAAAACCCTAAACCCCTAAACCCCTAACCCTCAAACCATTAAACCCTAAACCCCTAAACCTCAAATCCTTAAACCCTAAACCCTAAACCCCTAAACCCCTAACCCTCAAACCATTAAACCCTAAAAAACTAAACCCCTAAACCCTGAAACCCTAAACTCCTAAACTCCTAACCCTCAAACCCTAAACCCCGAAACCCTAAACTAAACCCCTAAACTCCTAACCCTCAAAAGACCTGAACCCTAATGTCTGCTGATGGCCAGGTTCAGCTCCGAGCCTGCAAGGGCGCCAGCGGCTCTGGCAGCAGGGCCTCAGGCAGCCGGCTTTGGGGTTTTTAGGGATTTTATAAATTTGGGTGTTTGGGCTTAGGGTTGTGGGGTTTTAGTGATTTAGGGTTTATATAGGGGTTTACGGCTTTGGGGGGGGGGGTGGGGGTCATTTTGGTTGCTTATTGTCATTTTCGTTGCAGCCGGTCTTGGGGGTTTAGGGATGTAGGGTGCTTGGGTGGTATTTTGGGGGTCATTTTGGTAGCTTAACGTCATTTTCGTGGCACATCCCCAGCAAAGCTCTCCCAGTCTGGATCCCAAACCCGATACCTCACACGCTAAATACCCTAAACCCAAAACCCTGCACCCTAGATCCAAACCCTAAAGCCAAACCCTAGACCCTAGACCCAAACCCTAAACCCTAAACCTATCTCTGCAGCCATTTCGGTTCAAGAAGCGGGACGCACAGCTCAGCAAATGCGCTGGTAAGCTTCATCCCGGATTCCGGAATGCAAGGGGCAGTTGTGGTTGTTTTGCCGACCTGCCTACTGTTCACCCATTGGATCATCCTTCTTTTGGACAGCGAGACCGCCGAGTCAGCTGCTGCACATTCGCTTGTTCGTCTCAATCATTCGTGGTTGCGTCTAGTTTTCGCCGCTTACGGTGACTGAGCTTCTGGTCTACCTTTGTCTATTCAAGATGATTCAGCCCCGACTACTGTTCTGGCTGCATTGTCTGACGGCGAGCATTACCTAGGCCGCCCACCTACTGCGGGTGGGCGGCGCTTAAGCCCCTCGACCTCGATGGCGCAGAGCGACCCAAGAAGGAGTAGGTTTGGATGGTTTGGCCGCCTTAGACGGCGTGGGGTGGGAGATTTAAAAAGCAAGAGCCATCCACAATCAAGCTCCGACGACGACTCGTGATACGATGACACACTCGAAATCACACTGTCGCAATTTTTTCAGCTTTTTCACCACTCTACGGCAAACCTTATACCCTAAACCCTAAGCCCAAACCCTAAAGCCACACCCTAAACCCGATATCCAAACCCTTAAAGCCAAACCCTAAACCCGCCACCCCAAGCCTTAAACCCAAACCCTTAACCCTAAACCCTACAAAGCCAAACCCGAGATGCGAAACGTTCGACTCATTAGGCCCTGCTGCAAGCAGGTCCGCTACCAGGAAGGAACTTCCGTGGTCTGCTTTCAGGACAGCCCTTAGGATGTCCTGATGCAAAAAGTGCTTAGCATGGTATTACGGTTCTGGTTCAATGTTTAGGCTTAGGGTTTTCTGGAGGTTCAGGACATCTTTAGTCTTTGGTCAAGGAGCAGAAAGTTGGATGTGTCGTTGTTGCGCTCCTGGGTGTGGCAAGTGTGGGCTGCGGAGGTTCATCTTGGCTGCGAAAGCTTCCATGCCTGTAGCCCTGTTCCTTGAGTGCCCCTAGGCACACTCACACGTGACGTGATGTCACCCAAAATAGTTTTATTCTCCAGGACCCGAGTGGTAGCTTTGGATTCTGGCGGTACCCCGTGGCCCTAGACCCTGCAGGAGACACAAAACAGATAGCGAGAGGTGGTTTGGTATAGGGCATGGCAGCTCAAGAACCAGCATCCTAACAACCCCAAACGATGAAGCCCGAGTTCGTGTTGGTGCTCACGGTCCTAGTAGCGAGCCCGCTAGAAGCCAAACCAAAGTCCGTAGCGCCCTTCAGGGTTTCGGATTCAGGCGTCCTTGCAACCAAGCCTGCAGCAAAAGGGCAGTAGCCTGACCTTGAGGGAGGCTTCCGCAGCGCCCGAAATTCCGTTTTCAACGGCAGGACCCAGCTGGCGTCCAAATCGTGGAGGACCTGGCAGATCCGACGTCCCCAGTGCTGGGTCTTGTTTCTTGTTGCGGGACATTTAATCTTCCATAGTTTCCGCAGGTAGGGAGCGGGGGGCTAGTTGCTGGTTCAATCCCGTCGATCTATAGGGAATGGCGTCGGGATCAAGCACGCTGTAACGTTGCACGTGGTGGTAGATCGAGCCGATATCTGTGTACCTTTGTTGTGAATCATGATTGCCAGCTGTATCTAACTGTCGGCTCATCGAGATGAAATGCTTGACAGGATGACTTAGGCAAGTACGATCAAAGTGCAGATCCGCTCGGATCGCTGTTCGACTGCTTTGTGGATGCGGGGCATATGGAACTCCTCACGCTGCACACAAACCCAGAGAAGCCATGCTTGTAATGTAGGGGCCTAAATATGTTGCCGATGCTATAGTGGGTGTTATTATACTCTTATTATTATGATTATGATTATTATTATTATTATCATTATATGGTCATATTACACCCCCGAACCCTATTCGAATAATTAGGACCCCCGAGAGTAGTGGCCCCTGCTGATGCACAGGTCCAAGTCATCAAGCTGAAACTTTAAAGCATCTCAGGGGTCGAGGGATGTAGGTCTGGCGACTACAAGCCCTACAGTAAACATTGAAATCCGAAACTCGAAAGATTCGAAACTCTAAGCCTGAAGCGATCGTAGTGAACGTAGAAGTAATACCAACCCCTGACGGATTGGCTCCCAAAGTTTGAATAGCAGCAAGGTTTGCCCAGCTTCAACCACGTCCTGTATTTACCCATGAAAGCAGATCCCCAAACCCCCAAACCCTACACCCTTAAACCCTACACCCCAACCAAGACTCCCTGCAATGCGGCCTCGTCCTTGCTAGGTAGGAGAAGAAAACCCTACACCCCACCCCGGAAGACGCAGGCAAGTCGAAGACTTACCCCTGCAGCCAGACGCACAGTTCTGCACCTCGTAAACCTTCCGTCAATGCCTTTCGGCTTTGAAAAGCTCAAGACTGCTACTATAGGGCCTAAGTAATTACCAATACTATTTTTGGGGGGTTCCTTGTTATAATTATAGTATATTGGGCCCCAAAACCCTATTCTAATTATTAAGGTCCCTATATTACATAGTACGCCTTTGGCCCAGGCAGCCTTAGCCTTATCCTAAACCCAATGCCCTAAAGCTTGAGCCCCTTGAAGACACTACAACTGAAGTCTGAAGCTACGGGGCCACGGATTTTGTCTAGAAAACCTACAGAAATCATGATATTTAGCTCTACATAAGCATGTAGGTATTTTAGGCGAAAGGCACCAGCTTTGAAGCCCAACACAGCAGAAGGAACTAGCCTAGGAAACACTGAACAAAGAATTAAAGAGCTAACAAGCCAGAACCCTCAACTAAACCCTAAACCGTCATTTCACTCTGACCGTCAGACCTTAGCGAAAGCCGTAAGAGTTTATAGGCTTTGCACTCCATCGGCCATGGCGCTTTGCGTGGGGCTGCGAGCTCCTCTGCACTCCGTTCCCGCTGCAAGGCCCCACTCTGTTTAGGGTTTAGGGTTTAGGGTTTAGGGGTTTTTGGAAGCTTTGCGAAGGATTTGTCCTCAAACTCGAAGCCCCCTTATGCGCGGTTCAGCAATACCGCAAAGCCCTAAACACCGTAGTCCCCAAACCCTGAACCCTTCAACAAATGCCAAAGAAAGCCCAGAAGCCGGAGACCTCACTCCGGTTTAGTAGGGTTTTGGGTTCAGGGTGAACTAGCGATTTAGTTATATGGGCTTAGGTTCAGACTTTCCGGTTTACGCTTAGCCGAGGTGGTGGGGGTTTTGCCTTCAGATTTGCTGTCCAGTACTTCTGATGATGAACCTTCGAACTTTCGAAGGCCCGGCGGTGCGGGCTTGAGTGTAGTATAGGGCAGCTACAGAGTGCAAAGACATAGAGACGACTCAACCAATAAGGAATGGGGGTCTGTACCAGGGCCCACTATCTCCCCCGCACTCCCATGTGAAGCAAGCACCCATAGCACGAGGATTCTTAAAGTATAGCCGAGTATAACCCTCAGCACGAAAAGGGGGATTTGATGTGATTTGGTGAAGATCGGGGTGAAGCATTTGCCGCAATCCTGAGTGATGGATCGGTGGTCACCTGAGGGAATGCCGACCAGTGCCATACAGGAGCAGCTGAAGAATGCGCAGCAGATCCAAGCTTGGGGTGAAGCATTTGCTGTAATCCTGAGTGATGGATCTGCGGTCACTTGAGGGGATGCCGTGGAAATGAGGCTGCGTTAGTCTGAAACCTCGTCGAGAGCTATTCAAACAAGAAGCTGTAGCCTGAAGCCCAAGCCATACCGCACTAAAATCACTAAAGCTCAAAATTACGAAGGCCCCTGCAAGAACCCTGACCCATAAAACACCACCCTAAAACCCACCAAAGCTGAAGATTTTAATCCAGGCCTTTACATGGCCTGTCGGAAGCGCGGCGTCGGGCCCCGGAGGAGGATTCAGAGCTGAAGTTAGGTTTTCGATTCTTAAGGTTTATAAGGCTTTTGGTTTTAGGGTTCAGGCTTTTCGACTTGGTCGGTCGGTAGGCCTCTGGGACATTTTAGACTTTTCCTCACATTGGGCGAAAGAAGAGCTCATTTACGAATGTTGCTCAAGGCTGTAACTTAAGGGGCTTTAAAGGCCAATCCAGATAAGGGTTATAGGTTGTATATGGTATCATGGATTCAGTGCGAAGGTTCCGCGTGGCTTTGCAGGGATGCTCATGAGGCTTTTGAATGGCTTCTGCAAAGGTGTGTTTTTTAAAGGCTTTGACGTGCTGATGCAGAGGACCACCCACAGTTTAAGGCTAATGACAAGATGTCTTCTCCATGTCGCAAGGACGTTTGAGGCTGAAGGTGTTTAGGGCTCGAAGGGTTTATAGAGTTTGCGGTTTTACTTGTAGGGTTGTAAGAGGGTGTTTAGGGTTTCGGGATGTTGGGAATTGTGTTCTCTTGGGTCTGCTGTTCAAGGTTCTGCAGGTGACTTCCGCATCCTGCAGTCCAGATTCACAAGGGTAATTTGTGGTCTAGCTGAAGCCCTGCATGCGCACTGATACAGGCACGAAACACACACAGGCGTGCATGCCTGCATGTAAATTAAACATAAGTACATAAGTATACTTTTATTCAGGCAGGAGGTTTGTTATGTGTGACGGGTCAGCGTAATGGAGCTTTCCCTGTACTTAGAGGATTGAATACTAACAAGTATATAGTATTGTTCCATGGGGTTCCGTTATATAAGTCGATCATACTGCACCCCAGCACCATTTCTGATTATCAAGGCCCTGTATGATAGTATGGGTCATCAGAGATCTGACGGCATCGAACTGCCCAGGCGCCACGATGCATCGCAGCTGCTGCAACAGCGGCTGCTGCCACAGCAATGAGTGGCCGAAGCCTTGACCTTAGCTGGTCAGCAGATTCAGGGTACTGGGTTTAGGGTTAGGGTTTCGGGTTTAGGGTTTCGGGTTCAGGGTTTCGGGTTTCAAATTAATACTTCGACAACGCCACGTGTTGCCTTGCCACAATAGTCTCGGCAAGTCAGCGACAACTTCCGTTGTCTACAGGCATCCCTGTTCGTTCCGTGTTTGAGGAATACGTGACATACACTGAAGACCACGGTCTAGGAGGGAGTCGAAACCTACACTCGACATGCGTTCAAGGACCAGGAAAGCCAAGCCACTACCTCCTAATATGCTACAGCTAGTCTACCTATACTATATAGTTGTTTTTTCTTTCGACGAAACCTCTGCCCATGGGCTTGGTGGGCATGCGCTGTGCAGGGATTAATTAAGTGGCAGCTAGAAGCAACATCTCGAACCCTGACCCACCTGTTTTGCATTGTTCCCTTCTTCGCTGCAGTTGGCTTAGCTGCTTTTTGTAACTTACATCCTAAGACCTACAAGGGCTTACCAGGAACCTTCCACTACAAACCTGGACACGGGCGACAAAGACTCCTTGCTACCAGCGCTGAATTGAGAGCGGATGACGGCACGCGCTCATTGCAAGCCCCACAAATGCCATTATAGGAACAAGCTTTTTGACATCGTTGTCACAGTAGTTTCAACGCAGAAGTCGTTCCCAAACCCTTTCCTCCACAGGCCTAAACTCTGAACCCCTGAACCCTGGACCCCGCATTCCAGGTTCAGTGTTCCCCTCGGGTCAACAGGCTCCGCACACTCAGGACTCGGATGTTCTGCACACGGAAAAGGGTCCGCAAAACCGATTATAAAGCCTAACAGTAACGGTCATTGCCGAGGCCGCGGACGACGAAGAGTTGAGCCACCGCGGGCTTTGCGCTTTGGGGGCATGCAGAGTCCAAGGTTTGGCTCTAGGTTCACTTAATATACAGGGTCTGGGGATCACCGGACTCAAACAGTACGTTGCAAAGTATTGGTACTGTCATGGCAGTTGTCCTATGTGTTATAAAGTTATACTCTACCAATAATTAACCTTTTTGCTAAGTTCCCCTCAGTCGAGGTTTGCTTGTGCCAGTTTTAGGCATCTACAGTAGGATTTCATAGGCATGGCGTAGAGTATAGGGATTAAGGTTGGCCAGGTTCATCTCGAAGAGCTCGAAGCTCTGGTCTCTAAACGGTTTGGGCTTCAGGGTGTTAGTGTTTAGCTGAGGCTTGGGGGTCTTGTTTCGGGCGGAGAATGCAGGGCTGCTTGTTATATTGCTGCGTTTGTTCGAGCGCTCTACACCCTGAAGCCAAATTTTGAGAGCTCGCTCGAGGTTCAGAGTTCGACAGTTTATGAATCTGAGCAGCCAGCAAACTCGCAGCCATTCAAAGCCTTTTTGGCCTCTTGGTGCTAAGGTCATAGGGACTCAGGCAACGAAATCAGACCCGACCAGAACTTTTGCTGGTGCTTCCTGCGACATTTTTCTGGGTACAAGGCGTGCGTTTGCATGATCGAGGCAGATGCCGCAAGTACTTTTGGACGGACAATTGACCTTGAAGCCCCGACGCCTACGTAGTCCCTGAACCCTAAATTCTGCACCCGCCTCAACACTGAACCATGAGAACAAGCCTTAGCCCTTGACCCGAAGCCCTCTACGATCAATTCCGAAATTCAGAGAGCCGAGGAAACCGAGCATCACCTTCGCACAAAGGTCCTTGGAGGCCTGAATCGAAGGGCTCGCCTTTCTGGTGTTTCAGGGATGGTTTGCTTCGAGGGTTTAGGTTCTAGATTTCAGGGCCTCTAGTCTAGGGTTAGGGGCCGCTTGCGCGTCTTAGAGTGTTGGGCGGTTCTGGGGTGCATTAGGCTTGAAGGCCGTCTGCCTGGGTTCATATCATTACCATCCTGGATCGCAGGGCCGTTGGTCTGAGCCAGGAGTAGCAATTAAGTAGCATTCCTTCTCAGGGTTCACTGATGTAGGTGCAGTATGAAAACGGCAAAAGCCCGAATCGCTGGTTGAAGTTTTCCACTGATCACTAGCCCCTCTTCGCGCAACGGAAAATTACAGAAGCGTACTGAGTATCAACGATGGGTCACTTTGTATTCTATGAGCGATCTTAACAGGACTATCGGCATCGGGGGAGCTCACTGAGGCAGCTCTCACCAGCCCCACCGCGAGCAAAAAGGAGTACAAGCAACATGGTCACCCTGAATGAACCCTAAAAACTCTACATAAACCTGTTCCCAAAACCCTTTCACCCTGAACCCCTCGACCCGGATCCTGTCATGATGCTCAGGGGTTTTTTTTGGCACCTAACAGTCTGACCAGGTTCACATCTGGCTACGCCGCACCAACCCCCAAGCTTCAACGAAAAGCGGAACTCATGAGCAGACTTAAGTGAATGCAGCAATTAGGGGTTACCTTAGGGTTCCTTTAAAGGGTTACTATAAGTGTACTATAATAAGGGTTACTATAAGGCCTACTATAAGAGTGTATATGGACCTAAACTCTTAAACCCAAAACCCAAATCGGACCCTGTGCATTCGCAGGTGGATGAAACTGAGGCCTTTGCATTGGTGGAGGACACCTGGCTCTCGAAACTTAGAGCTGTGGGGTGGCAAAATGTGTTGCTACACCATTGGGTTCCACAAAGTTTTTATATCCACACCCGATCCCGTTCTAAATCAATAAGGCGTCTGCAGTAGGCCCTCTCCTCGTGCTCAAGGCCTCCCCGATCCTCCTCCCGCTGCTGGTGGTAGCAGCCGTCCTGGTTGTAGTGTAGTAGTAGTCGTCGGACTACCTCCACAGCTCCCACTACTACGACGAAGACTAATACTTGGGAGTTTCCGAATATAGGGGACCCTAATAATTATAGTGCCATAATAGTAGGATCCTTCTTATAAGGACCCAAAATAAGGTGCCCTAATTTTTCGGAAACTCCCATATACACTCTTATATTAGGCCTTATAGTAACCCTTATTATAGTATTAACCCTTTAAAGGAACCCTAAGGTAACCCCTAATTTTTCGGAAACTCCCCCGCTTCGAAGCAGGAGATCCGGGCCTTCGCAGTCGCCCGGGACGGCGACGATGCAGCTTGGGCTTCTCCATCCCACCAATGCTACTGCTTCTTCTTGTGCTACTATACTTTACTACTACAACAACTACTACTACAACAACAACAACTACTACTACTACTACTACAACAACTACTACTACTACTACTACTACTACCACCACCCTCGGACTTGAAAGCCGAAGCTAGGATTTAGGGCTTAGGGGTTTAGGGTTTGAGGTTTAGGGTTTAAGGTTTAGGATTTAGGGTTTAAGGTTTAGGGTGGGAAACTATGGTTCAGAGGTCAGAGTTGAGAGTTGCCCAGAGGTTTCCTAGAGGGATTACGCAAGAGTTGCGGGGTTCAGCGTTCAGGGTCATGGGCTTTGCTACATGCGTTCATGCACTGCCCAATTCTTGAACATTCAGGAGCTTATAGCTACTGCACGCGGAAAGACTTTGCTCCCGGGTTGAAATCCCTGAAAACCTGAGCCAAAGGGCCGAGAAACCTTTGTAGTTTTCTGGTGTCCTCCAGGGCAACCCAGACTTCGCAAAGCAAATTTTAAACCCAGACCAGACCACAATCAAATCGTGTCCACACCCTGCAGTCCTAAGCCTCCCCACTCATCCCAGGCCTTCTTTGGTGTCCTACGGATCCAAGTAATTACTGTGGAATTTGCCGTCCTTCGTTATCCCTTGAGGGGACCTCGACCGTCATGACTACATGACCTACATGTTACAAGCCCGTGGAAAGCCCTGTCCTTTATTTAAACCCCTTTACCAACCAGCCTACCTGTGGCACCAATGACCTAGGTGACCTCTCTTTACACCCTATAAATCCTAATCCCTGGACGCTAAACCTTACACGAAGCTCTAAACTCCACTACCTATAAACCCCACTGCCTAAACCCCATCGTGAAAGAAGTCTAACTTGGAGAGGGCGGGGAAACCCGTCGACCCTGGTGCTAAGAAGCCCTACTCATATCTAGTCCTTGAACCCTAACCCCTCAACGATAACATTTAACGAACAGGCCACGGGCACGCGGACGAAGCACTGGACTCAGCGGCTCTGCAGAGGTTTAGAGGCCAGAAAGCCATTCCTGAGAAGTTGTTTTTGGTAAGAAAGGCTTCTTAGCCCTCTTTGAGGGGTTGTTGAGCACTTTAAATGTGCTTTTGCTTTCATGGTTGAGGGCTTTGGGGTTGGGGTTCTTAGAAGGGTTTTAGATACTTTAGTGGTGCCTTCAAGTTTTTGCTTAGGACTTTACGGTCAGGTGTGTAGGGTTTTCTTGCAAGCTTAAAGTCTAGGATTGGAGACTCCGGTTTGGCTGTTGTTTAGGGTGAAGGTTCGTGGTCTATAAACGGTTGAGGCCCAGTTGAGGCGTTAGGGTTCACCGGGTTTCGGGTATCCTTCAGTGCTTCCGGGTTTTGTGCTTGGGGCTAACCTATAGAAGGATTTACGGCTGGTATGTGCCCAATGCTGCACACCCAACCCCTCCAAACCTTGACAACCCAACCCTCTTGCACCCAGACAGCCCAAAATTACGTATACGTTTAACTATAGTTAGTTTAATGCAGAGTTCTTGGTTGGTGAATCGTATGTTTCTGGGCCAATGCCCCTTGACTAAGGAATGTCCTTGAGACCGAATAAGTCACGACCCCCGCTGCAACCTTACAACTTATGGAATGTTCCTGGGCCTTAGTTCATAAGCTCTATCGCAACCCCCTATATCTCGACAAGTGTTCCGCAACCAAACGGTAAGTCGGGCGCGCTGTGGAGGCTCATCCGGGGCTCCGGCCGTTGCTCCAGGAGGAGGGAGGTGGGCTCGAAACATGGCCTTGCATTTGAGCCTCTCTATACATAAGGGCTTGGGCTTCAGGAGCAGTAAAAGCCTAATTAGTCTTCTTTTACATTTGCTAAATTCCAACAGGTGCTTAGCTTTCACCGCAGTTCCTTCGTAAGTCCGTTCGACAGGTTTTTTTTGGATACCCGCCCCCACATTATGTTTCCCGGATTCAAGTGGTTCGGCCACGAAGGCCTCCCTACTATAGGGGCCTTGATAATTGCCTATGCTATTTTGGGGGTTCCTGATAATAAGTATAATTAGTCTAGTGGGCCCCCAAACCCTGTTTAAGTTGTTATTGAAGGGCCCTATATTAGTAGTAAGGGTTGACAGAGGGCTTGCGACCTTGCTGGGCCTTACGGTGTGGGACGAGTGTTCAGGGTTTCTAGTGTTCTTATGGGTTCATCTTGCTTGTGCCAAAAGCCCCAAGCCCCTGAATCCAAAACCCTAAACCCTTAAGCCCTGCATCCTGCACGCAGGGGTCGAAGCTGCCTTGTTGGAGCTGGAGACGCGATCGGCAAAGCACACGGAGATGTTCAAAGGCTTCTGGTGGGTCGTGTGCTGCAGGTTTGGGTTTAAGCTTTACAAGGGGTTAGGGTGTAAGCATTAGAACCCTATAACCCGAAACCCTAAGCAGAAACCTCCTTTTCGAATCTTGCGAGTGGAAAGAGGGACGTTCACAAAAAGAAAAGACCTAAGCCCCATAACCGCATAAGTCCCGCCGTTTCGAGATGTAGCCTCAACCCTGCAAAACAGGAGGAACTTCTTACTCACCTACGTAGACATGACAGCCCTTTCAAAGATAGGTTATTGGTTCATCGTTCAGCAGACTCTGAAGTGCCCACCATCCGGTCCTCGATCTGGTATCCCTTCCATGACCTCAGGCTAGACCCAGCAACCCTTCAGAAGGGGTCGCAATAATCCCTATCCGGAAGAACACATATAGTTTAGTATACCCCGAAGCTCCATGTTTCGTCCCGGAGCCCTCCAAGCTGGCCCTGGAAAGTATCAAGCATCGTGGCTCGAAGGTACCTACTTATATAGCAGGATGCCACTACCAACAGCGCTCGGTTATTTGAGTTGTGTTTCTTGCTAGCCATCAGTTACGGTCCAGGGCGTGGAATTACCGTTGACCGTAGCTGTTGTTGGTTGTCGCCTCCAAGTTGTTTGCCTCTCATTGTTGCTGTTGCGATGCTTGCCAAGTTCTGCTACAGTCGCCAAAAGCCTCCCTCGCAATTGCAGTTTGGGGTTTAGGCTGCGATGCTTGAGCTGGCTGTGCCACTGCGTCCAACTTACCAGGTGTCCGAGGGAAGAGATCCCAGCAGCACCATGGGCTGTAATACAATCAGGGTCTATGGTTTAGTGTAGTATTCTGCTGCAACAAGAGTGCTGAATACGAAGTTGCTGACAGTTCATAGGGTGCTCCGAAATCAGACGTGTCACGACAAGAAAGCACGTACGCAGCGCGACCTCACAGTTTCCTGCTGGCTTAAACTTTGCTTTGCAGCAAAACGGGTAGACCCCATCCCCCGAAGCAGATCTCATTCAGCGGATTTGGAACGTCAGCTTTACCTATCCAAAACATACGGTATGTAAGTGTATGGCTATCTAACAGATGACGCCTTACCCTCCAATGTTCCATTGACCCGTGGTGGGAGCGAAAGGCATCACCGAGCATCACGCAGCTCTCCGGGAGGGCAGTGCAGCAGATGCAGAGGCCCTCGAGGGCTTCAATGTTTCGGGTACTAGGACCCAGAAAAGGCCCTTATTCCCTTTTTGGGGGGTTCAGGTTCCCTTATATATAGCCCCTTTAAACTAAAAAGGGCACCCTTTTTATTCCTAGGCTACTCTTGGGTCTAGGGTAGGCCTTAGCAGAAGAGAGGCTTCAAGATTTTGGGGTTCGCAGACGGCCAGGACAAGTGCCCGGGCATTCTTGCCGGCAGATGGGCATCTACAGCAGTGTTGGGGTTGCCGACTGATGCAGGATCCAAGCAAATGTTCAAGGATGTTCATTTTTTTGTTAAGGGGGCGCATCTTCCAGAAATGCCACCTGCAGGAATACAGCGAACAGGCTGCCTACATGGCCGAACAGCATCTCGTTTGCCTGAAATACGTGGGTGTTTCAGAGAATGGGTTTGGGCTTTCGGAGCTTGAGATCTTCATTGTTTCATTAGTTAGAAAAGAACCTTAAATAAGGGACTCTTCTTCCAAGAAGCACCCAACTAACACACTCCAATGCTTCAGGGGATTCCGCCCTTGACTTCATCCTTGTATTTGAGCCCTCGGGGAAGTGGATGTAAGACTCTGACTTAGGACACATCGCTCGACCTACCCCAACATCTGAAGCCCTGAAACCTAAACCCAACCTCAACTCAGAACCAGGCGTGAAAGCACGAAGTAATTTAGCTGTATTGGCAGCCAAAGCCTCACCCAACCTACATGTGTAGGCTCCTTGGTAGTCTTTTTCGATGCTTTCCTAGCATGCCTCCACATATAATTGTTCGAGACGTATCGTTGGGGGGGGGTCAGGACAATCCCTGAACTATCCAACCAGACACGCGAACACCCGACAAGGTGGTGGATCCGAATCGCCAAGCAACGAATCATCTCCTTGATCGACCAGTACTACCTGCTCACGGGCGAGCAGGACTGCGATCTGCTGCTTTACGGTTGCGACTCCTTGTCAAGACCTCTTTGCCTGTCATGCAAATCTGGCGGCCTGAGTATCACTACACTCTTTTGTAGTCATCTGGACCCTGAACTTATAGCTCAAGTCCAACGGCTCCAATTATAAGACTCCAAACTCTACACACCTCGCTGTCCTTTCGCAGATGCGCCGCGGCCATCCGCGCTGGGCGTTCCCCCGCGAATCACTGACTTTGCCGAAAGGCCAGGATCGCTGTTTAGGTTATTAGGGTTTAGGGGTTTAGGGCTAGGGGCGCTGTCACGAGCACAGTCCTAACAGGCGGAAGCGCGGCCAACTACCAGGCGTCCTTGCAAGCAAGCCTGCAGCAAAAGGGTTTAGGGCTATAGGGCACGCGTTTTAGATGTGATGAGACAAGCGTTTGTGGTGGTATAGGGGTTTGTCAGATTTGTAATGGCTTCTGAAGCCATGTAAGAATCTGGGCCCCAGCCTAAATCATAATCAGCAATGTCATTCCCGTACAGTCGTAAGCACAGCATGATTTACCCACAAACTCTACTCTAATGTCTAAGGTGCCCATACTGTATTGCAGGACTTTTCAGCTTCGGTTTTCGTTATCTATAACTACTAACTTCGATGTTTAGGTCAAGTCTTAGTTCAATGCATGGTTTTGGGTTGTAAAGCTTAAGTCCGGGTTTAGGGCTCATGAGAATTTTTGCTTTCAGTGCTTCTGGCTTGGAGCTTCAGCTCATAATTCATATTCTGTTCATTGTCATGGCTCATGCTGCAGCTACGTTCATTCGTCAATAGAGTACGGTACATACTCATGGTAGTCAAGGTTGTATTCTCCGAGCTGTTTTGGGTTTGCATGAGCTGGGCCCTTTGACGTCGACCCCTGTTCATCCCTGTTTTGGGAGTTGAGATGAAAGGGCTAGCTACTGTAAGCCTTATCAAGGGAGGGCGATTTGTGCAGCAGGGGTCTCACGCGAAACCCAAGGACCTGGAAGCATGACCCGTGAGGACCTTGGTATGCCGACATAGACCCATAGACCCGAACATCTGAAGCCACAAACCCTAGAGCCCCAAACTCTACATCCCCAAGTCGTAGAACACTGAAGCCCCAAGCCCGAAAGCTGTGTAGTCAGAAAGCTTAAAACGTTTAAAACACTAAACCCCAAGCCCTACGAATCCCAAGTCTCGGAATTACCTCAACTCTGCACCCTTACACTCACCCTAGGCCCTCAAAGCCAAGAGCCTGAAGCTCTTACTGAAGCTTGCAGCCCGAAACCCCCCAAGCCTACATTCTGAACCTTACATGTGAACAGCTACGTCCCTGAACGTAGCATTTGAAAGAAGCGCTTACCCTGAAGGTTGGGTGAAGTACGAGGTGAAAGGTCGCACTCTGCCGCTCTTGCAAAAGACGTTCTACCCTCTTGATCGGGGTGGGGGGGCGACTTTCAAGTGTTCTGGAAGGGCTCCATCAGGGTTCCAATGTTGTTATGTTTGTTCGTCTTATTCTTGTTATCGCTATTGAGATGATAGGCTGTCATCGTCACTATCCTTTAGCGGATTGCATCGCTGATCATACCCTACACCCTAAACCCTAAACCCGACATACAAGAGCTTTTTCAGGCTCCTTCGCTTCTGACTTCAATGTAGGTTCAGAGCGAGGCATGGGAATTGAAGAAGCAGGGCCTGGAGTCTTGGTAGTATAGGGGCCGAAATAATTACCTATACAATTATTCTAAGGCTCTAAGGGTTCCTTACCGTAGGGGCCTAAATTCATGATTACCAATACAACTGTTCTAAGGGCTCCTTATTATATTTATAGCAGAATATACCCCTAAACCCTATTTTAATTGTTCAGGCCCCTTTCTTATGCATGTTGGGCTATTCGCTGGATCTGCAGATCTCATGAGTTGATACTGTCTGCTGGGCACAGTTTGTTCCATCGGATCTCTCTTGTAAATTCTAACCCTCCAACACCTAAACCCCGGACATAAAAGCAAGACAAGCTTCAAACTGACTGATTGGATGGCTAGGATGCCCAGCAGTACCCTTATTCCCTTTGTGTAGTCCTAGGTTCCCTATAAAGTTACCCAATACCAAAAAGGGAGCCCTTCTTATTCCCGGGCATCCTAGAAGGAATGCGCGGGAGACTGTTTGAAGGCTTTGGCCCCCTCGGCCAAGTTTTCTGAAGGTATTGGAACCCAGAGAAGATGAAAATGGAGACTCGAGCGTCACGGCTGCAGTGAGTCCTTTGATCCTTTCCACATAAGCCCATGAACCCAAAAAGTTGCTGCCTTCTGAGTTCCCCTACTTTAACTATCATACATAATAACCCCCCTCCAGAAACTTATCCTAGTATTTAGACCCCAGTATCAAGAGTGGTGAGCCTTTGCCCTTCAAAGTTGGGATTAGGATGTAGAGTTTAGGGCTGATGGTAGACAAATCAAAGAGCCCAGACCCTTGAAGCATTGCAGCCACCTCCTTAACCCCACTAAACCTTGCAGAGAACGAAGGAACCCCGAGACCGGCGTAGGGCTTGAGTTCGAAGGTCCCAGGATACTCGGACACACGAAGATTTAAGCTCCCATAGCCCGGAGAGGGCCTACAGGGTGACACGAAGATGTAGGCTCCCAAACGGATACAGGGTGTGGCCCAGTACACGTAAAGAGTTACGGACGGACCTCGGTGGATCTCTAAAGAAAAGGATGGGTGGAGAATCATGGCTTTAATACCCCTGAGGGCCCAAAACCCCAGCTGTCCGCAAGGCGCCAGCTCCTGCAGAAGGAAAGGAGCCACCCTCGCCGAGAGATCCGCCGGTGAGGCGGCAATGAGAGATCGCAGAGTATCCCTGTGCAGGATTTTCGGTTGTGGACTTTTTGGGCGGTGGATGTTCATCAACCCGCCTGCAAACCCTACCCCTGGAAATCCGTGGAGATGTACCCTGCATGGTAGAAATGCAAAGCAGCCTTCAAGTAACACTGCAAGCTACACTCTAGAGCCTCTTGCGACTCTTAATTAAGCCCCACACCTTGGGTACGGCCCCCACTCAGTAATAATTGAACAATATTCATAATACAGATATAGTAGGACCTTAATAGTAGCCCTATTATAGACTCTTACTGTATGGGGGCCGTACCTAACCCACACCCAAAATCAATGCGGCTTCAAGCCCCAAACCCCGGAACCCAGTATTCGAGTTCTAGGGTTTATAGGGGAGTTAGGGTCGGGGCTTTAGTGTTTTAGGCCCTTAAACGCTAAGCCCCAGCTCGAGCCAGGTTGCTGGATATCGGCAGCAACACGAACAGCTTTCTCGAGTTTCCCTTCCATGTGACGGCGCGGGCATAAACTCGAAGGGCCTTTAGGGCTCAGGGTGCACCGCAGCGAAGGGACGCCATAATAAAGAACGGCTTCTGAATCGGTGACCCAGTGGAGTCTTTGCTTGGAGTCTTGCATGTGTTCTTATCAGGACTTTGCAACGGTTTACGATCAGGTTTGTGCGAGCAATGTGCATCTCCTGCCCCAGCAGTTAGAGATATCGATGTAGAAGAAAACAGGCGGGACTGCTGCAGACGTCGGTCGGTCTTCTCCATGAACAAGCGATTCTCCAGCACCCTCAAGAGTTTGTGGTTTGTGGAAAGCCGTACCCCATATTTCCCAAGCCCGCACAAAGTTTTCAGTTCCAGATCCCCAAACCATGCAAAAGCGAGATTTCTTGGCTCCTTGTAATTTTTCCTTGTGACACCCAACAACAACAAAAACCGAGACCTTGCGCAGATCCTAAAAATTGCAGCCCTTGGAGACTGCTGAAAGCCCTCAACCCTAAATCCCAAAACCGTACTTAACGTCAAACCCCGAGACTTGAAGCTCCCCTGCTCCTCTAACACCCGTGTAAGACCCGTATAAGCTCTTATTAGCACCCCTTCAATATTATACCCTAAACCCCGAAACGCAAGATTCTGAAAGCATTGCCAGCCTTATGCCCTGGATCTGCAGCCGAACCCTGCCGCGGAAGGCCAGCGGATGAAAGCTCTAATACAGGGGCCTTGATAATTAGAAGAGGGTTTGGGACCTTGCTGGTGAAAACTATAAAATAATACACCCCCATGTTCCATTCTAATTACTAAGGCCCAAAACTATGCGGTACGCCGGTGTGAAGTTCTCAATTAGGGTTTCGGGCCGCGGAAATGACACAGACGCCTCAACAATCGGATTCTTCTTCCTTTTGGCTTCCATAAAATGTATATTACCATGTACCTTAGAAGCTGCCCCCACGTCCCCTAATATAATATTTATATAATCCTTATAGTCACTATTACAGGGTGGGGGCAGCTTCTAACATATACCCCAAAACCAGAGACAGTAGCAGGCTGGATGCAAAAAGCCGTCGGGGCTTAGGCGGCCTGGATTTTTTTGGGCAGAAGTGTCTCTGATGCGGTGGTTCAGCAGGACAAGATGACCGGGAAGCTTGTATGTTTCTACGATGTCTGGACTTCGTCGGGTTCTTTAGGTTTAAAGTTGAACCAGAAGTTTTCGGGTTTGTACGACTCCTCTTGCACTTCAACTTTTCCGAGATACCATAGGAAGTTGAAAGCAGCCTGCGAGGCGTGTTCCAGGCAGACTTCTTTGACGTGCCCATTGTTGAGGCTGGGGGGCGCGGGAGGTTAGCCGAAACTGTGAGGTCGTCTAGGTTTGGCTTTAGGGTTTGTGGGTGTTATGGGAGTCTGAATTGAGGAGGAAGTTCGTGTCAAGTTTCGGGTTAGGGCAGAGTTGCCGACTCGCGAACCTGCTTGCACGTGACATGTGGGAGTGGAGTAGGGTAGAGGAACTATCGGCAATAGAGTTGGTGCTGAGGTGCCTAGACGAGTTAGCAGGACTTCAGATTATGCCTAACATAGGCGTCTCCATAATTAGCTGCTGTCTTCTAACAATAGCCTTTACCCTTTCAACCCTCTTCTATGTTCAAGCAATATTACACCGCACCGCCCCCCCCCCATCCAAAGGAAAAGCCACGGTGGCCCATGGTTTAGGTCCCAAGCGACTCAAAGCTCCTTCTTAAAAATGTCGCTAAGGCTAGGGGCCTTTGCTTGCCAGACTCTGATCCTTAGATCTAGACGTCGGCCGTCAGGGGTAGTTTCTATGCTTAGAAGCCTAAAGTCATCATTGAGAACTTATCCTGGCAGACTTGAACCTTAAGCCTTAAGCCTTGGGCCCCGAAATGCCGCAACACTGAACCTCACAGCCTCTCCTGCTTACAAATGCAGGCGCCGGATGCCGAAGAGCCGCTGATTCTCGACGAAGATGGAAAACTGAAGGCCTGTCCATTGCTTGCGCCTGCGAGAGATCTATTGCCGCACACCTCTAGGAGCACCCAAAAGTTCTTCGATTCGTGCGGGTCCAGTACAGGGCATCTCGGCCCGTATGCGGATATCCAATCGGAGAGCTTCTTCCTCCCGGTTCTTCTTCGACTTCACATCGCTAGCATCGCACTCTCTGTTATCATGGTGGTAATGGCGGGCATCCTCATCGTCATCAACAGCATCATTGCCAGCCTCGTTGCCGGCATCTTCTGCGTCATCACCTTCCGCAATGTCGTCTTAGCTGTCATCCGCATTCTAATCTAGGGGCCTAAATCGTTACCAATACTATTTGGGGGGGGGGGGGGGGGGGTCCTTGTAACAAGTATATGATATAATGGGCTCCAAAACCCTTTACAAAGTATTAAGTTCCCTACATTAAACCCCCATAGTACCCCTTATGGTAACCCCTATAGGACCCAATTAAAAAAAGCCTTTCAAGGGAACCCTATTCTAATTATTAGGCCCCTGCATGTGTTTTTTTTTCATTAGCCGGTCTTCCGTCTCCATGACTGCAGGAACCTGATAAAGAATCCTTGGGTGTAGAACCCCCCAAAAAAGGTAGTAGGATTCATATAACCAGCCTTACAAAAGGTTCAAGGTTTCTTAATCAGGTTCCTACATTAACTATCATCTTGTAGGTCTTCATGATCAGCCTGGCCAAGCTTCGCCATCACCACGACCTAATCATCTTTTGATTACGGTTTAGGGTTTAGGGTTTGATTAGGATCTTCATCATCGTACCATCCGCATACGGCGGTCATCTTCGTCATGGTCCACACTCCCTCCTTCCTACCCTGGCCTGTCGTTGTCAGCAGCGTTTCCATCACTATCGGATGCCATTCGCTCTTAGAAGGACATCGCCGGTATCTTAACTTCAAAGCCTCAAAACCGCCCCGAAGACTGCAGCAACCGCAACCAAGCCAGTTGAATATAGTGAGTTTCTCCGATGAAACACTACCAAATCCGCGGCCACGCTCTGCAGGGAATTGTAGCTGGATCCATGGATGTGGTTGTGATTTGCCTGGCCTCTTGCCTGCACGCATATCCTCCAATTGTTTTTCGTAGAGATCGACTCAGACTGTAGATCCTTGATCGGTGAATTTCCATTATGGTCGTATGGTATCGTGGAGGTACCTACGCACAAAAGATGTCGGTAACTGTGGGAGTCATTCAAAAACCCTCAGCCCTAAGCCCCATCTCTGAACCCTAATCCGAAAGCCATCACCTATCTAACCCCTGAACCCTACGGTCGCCAGGCTTTGTCCGAGTGTGAGTGTCAAATCCCAAAACCCAAACCCTGTGAAGCCTGAACCAGTCAGTCAGCACAGCAAACCGAGAAAGTGACCATGGAGGAAGGCTCCACATCTAATGTTCCTTAGGGTCTGCTGTTTGTTGGTAGCTTATGTTCGTACATGTTGATTCCAAAAGAAAATCATCCAAACCCGAAACTCAGGGCCATTGAAACAGAGGCTTAGTTTGGCTCGAAGGGGCTTCTAGATACATGCCATTCAAGATTCAAGCAGCCCTGGGGTGGGCATTGCATCCTTCTGTACGGGATTACAGCACAAGGTTTAAAATGACTTAATAAATGGCTGCACAGTGTCTAGGCCTAGACGATGCCATGGCAGGTTTCGGGCTTTAGGGATCTTGGCCTCAGTTTCTTGTCGTCACGGGTACCGCAGGCCTGGTTGCAAACGGGATCTTGGGCTCTCTGCGGAGACATTTGATGCAGCAGTAGCTCACAGGGTTCTCGGACTGTAAGTCTGCTCACCGACTTTCTGCACGGTGTCGACAAACGCTCTGTTTGCCGATGGTTGTTTCACGTCGGGCCGCAAGTGCAGCCCTTCCGTCAGGCTTGACGCACCGAATGCCTGGGAAAGAGAGAGAGAGAGAGAGAGAGAGAGAGAGAGAGAGAGAGAGAGAGAGAGAGAGAGAGAGAGAGAGAGCGAGCGAGCGAGGGAGCGAGGGAGGGAGGGAGAGGGAGAGGGATCTTGGACTCAGCAAATGGGATTTGGTTATCATAAGCAATTAGGTGAGAGGAAGCATACTGCCAACTCAAGTAGTATACCGCCTCCTGCTTCGGCACTCCATGGCTCTGCATGTGTTTTTGTTGCCCAACTCTCGGTCATTGTTCCTCTTACCGTTGGTTAGTAGGGAATGGAGGAATGGGGTACAATAATAACTACTACTACTACTACTACTACTGCTGCTACTACTACTACTACTACTACTACTACTACTACTACTACTACTACTACTACTACTACTAACATTCTTCATTCCATACTAACCAAGGTAAGTCCTGCCCATCTAGGTTCCAGTCCCAATTCAAACTCTTTTGGCCTGCCTTTGCCGATGAAAGACATGCCATTCCCTGTTTCCCCCAGAACTTATCTTGCCACATGTTGCTGGAAGCAGCACATATTTGCAGACGCCAGTGCATTGATTATTGAATGCATACATACGACTGAACTCTGCATTGCGAGAAAAGCGGTACCTGGTCTTAAGTGCCGTAGCTGCGCATGCATCGGACCCCTTATCGCTGCATGCTGCACCCCACTTTGGAACCTGTGTCTACGAAAATTGAAAGCGAAGCGTATGTGCTTAGGTTCTCTCCTTCTTGCCAACGCCCGAGAAGAGAATTGAGATGGTGGCAAAGGCACGGAATCAGAACTGCAACCAGAGGGCGATTTAGGGCTTTGGGTTTTGGATGTATTTTGAGGTTAGGGTTCATGGGCGTTGGGTACAGGGCTTTTATCTGCTGAATGTATATTCCTGTGTATCCTTTTAAGCTTTTACGTGCGCTTGGTTCTCATCGTTGCGATGCGTGTCCTTGTTGAAGCCTGTCGTCTCCAGGGCCAGTCAGGTTTCGGGCTTGGGGCGTCCGGCCTTAGCTCTGAATAAGGCTGTTTAGGGACTAGGATTTGGGCTTCAGAGCCTCTTGCGTCAATACGATGCTTCCTCTGAGGTGCCGGCCCCAGCCCGAGACTCAAAAAGGGCCTCGACAAGCTTTTGGGATTGACGTTTTAGGCTAAGTTCTTCGATGCTTCCGGCCCAATTGCTGGCTGCCGAGTCCTATGACTATTGCTTTTAGGGCTGTGTACCAAAAAGGCGTACCTAACATACAGATAAAGACGCAATTCTAGACCGTGTGGCCGTTAATCCGAAGCTTCTCTCGTGCCGAAGCCGAAGTCCCGAGCCACAACTCTCCGGCACAAGTGCTCGAAAGCTCAACTATTCACCGAGCACCAGCTGAACCTTTCAAGCTGAGGAAGTGCCTGCGGGACGATCGTGGCATGCTCTTTGTGGCCAGGCTTTTCTGAGTCTTTATTGTGATCTTATGTTGCATTTTAGATCCCTGCATTACCTGGCTTTGACTGCTATAGTACTATAGGTTCTCCTGCCGAATATGACGATACATGCAGGTTTCGAACGCGTAAGGTTCCCCGCATCAGTTGTCCCTGTTTGTCCAAGTGTCGAGAAGCCCCTTGGGGGTGGCCTCGACGATCCGGGGATTAGGTTGAATTGCTGATCCCGGTGAGCCGCCCATTCAGCCACCAAAGCCTGATAAGTTACTAAACCCCAAGTCCTAAACCTTTAAACCCTTGTAAACCCCAAGCCGTTCAATCGGCCCTTTCCTTGACGTGCAGCTTCAAAATCTCAGGTTGTGGAGGGTGCTGCTGCAATCGTCGAAGCAAGCTGGCACCATGAAGATGATCCTCGGTGTGCATAGGGGGGCAGGGGGTATTGGGTTGAGGGTTTGGGAGTTTCCGAAAATTAGGGGTGCCTTATTTTGGGGTCCTTATAATAAGGATCCTACTATTTAGGGTACTATCTTAGGGTCCCTCTTTTCGAAAACTCCCATTTGGGTCAGGGGTTTTGGGTTGAGGGTTTAGGGTTCGGAAATGTTCGGAACCTGGTGAGCAAAGCAGGGGGGGAGGGGGTTCGGGTGAAGGGTAGAGTCGGCTAGAGGCTTGGAGGTTTGGGGGAGGTGCCCTGGTAGAGTTACACATTTAGCGGGTCCCAACCCGAAAATCTCTAGGGTTTGGAGTTGCAGGGTTTAGGGTCTATCTGTCAGGGCAAGGTATTCTACAGGGTTCGAGAGCGTAAGTCCCGTCACCTCGCTACCCCGATCATGTACCCCGAACCTCTAGTTAGCTATAGCCGATGCGAACACACAGAAACTCCTCCTGCAGCACTTCCCTGCCATCCGCTCTGATTCACCTAAACGGGACACGCTAGACGCACACGCCTTGCATGGTATCCCGACCACGAGCATGGCAACATACCGAATCCGAGACTTTCTCGTGACAAGAACGACAAAGCCTTACTTGCTTCTGTTTTGTTGGGCTGTTAGCACTGTAGTATCTTGAATGCGTTTGTTTTTGTTTTCATTGCTTATGCGATGATAGTGTACTAAAGATACTGAAACGTTCATTTTCGGCCCTGTACCACCCTGAACCATGACAGGATGCAAGGACCGCTCTTACGCCATAGCTTGTGGTTTGTTGTCGATGCTTGGGGTTGGGGGGAGCCTAAGGTCGCTAGGGGTGTAACCTACATGGGTGCTTGTCAAAATTAAGGTCCCTTTTTGGGTACCCGAAATATTAGGTGCTGTAATTATCATAGGGACCCAAAAAGGGACCATAATTTTGACAACTACCACATGCGAAAACCCAAAACCCTGTGTTTAAGGGGATCTCCTTTTATGATATGAGCTCCGAGGAAGCGGCAGAATGGTCCAAAGCCATGGAGAGTGCTGGGTTCAAGGCTGGACTGCTTTTTCCTAAGACCCCTTATGGGCTCATATACCAGAAAGGCTTCCTTAATGCGCTCCTTAAAGGGTTCTGTGTACTTAAACGCCGACGTAATATCGAGGCCTGAAACATCAGGCTGCCTTCGTTGAAGCGAAGGTTGTGCACTACCCCCGCTAGGGAATATGCAAAGCTTTCCGCATCTGATCAATGCAGGAAGGTTGCAAGAGGGGTTTCGGAGTTGTGGGGCAATAAGAGGGATCGAAAGCAACGGGCCTGTTTTTTAGATATGGGCGCTGGGCAAGTGATTTAAAAGGAGCATTCTTTTTGCAAGGACCTGTGAACAAGGTCCCCCTATAGATACGCACGCCTTCACCGACTTCATGTACACGTCGTACTCCGGAAGTTGGGGCTGCAGCAGTTTAACAACAGTAGTAAGATGCTCAGATTCAAGCGTAGGGTAGCCAAAACAAGAACCTGCCTTTGAGCATTTAGGTAAAAGCTTCAAAAACCTTATGCGGCCGTTGCACAAGCCTAAACCCTAAGCCCCCAGCCTGTAGAAGCCAAAAATATGAGCCCTCAAGGAGTTGAAGCTCACTTAAGCGGAGTGAAATTGCACAGTGGGTTCAGAGTTTAGGCGCTGCTGTACAGCGACATCGTGAACGAAGGTCGTCGCAAGAAGCGTGGCTTTGGCCAGCACACCTGAGTTGCATGGTGCTGGTGATTCTGGTATATCGTGCAGTATATCGTGCAAAGAAGATGTTCTTGCGAAGCAGTCGGGTTTGGGCCGGTTTTTTTGTCCGGATGCCTGCAATTCGGAGCACTGGGTTTGCGCTGCAAGTCCGTCTCCTCACCCTTGTCTTGCACAGCCAACCCACCGGCCTCCCACTGTGGCAGACGAGCACCATACACCAAAACCTCAAGATCATAGGGTCGGGGCTTGGACCAGTAGGGTTCATAGGACTTTTACTACGTGTATCAAAGGATTCTAGAAGTGTTTTGTTTCAGAACCTTTGCCTACTATAGAGGCCTAAATAATTACCTATATTTGGGTGTTCCTTATTCTAATCAAAGTATAATGGGCCCCAAAACCGTATTCTAATATTAAGGCCCCTGCCTTAAGCTCTCCGAGTAGCTCCCTGAGTGGCAGCCTGGTTTATGTACTTGCAGACCTTAAAGGCAAACCCGGAAAGCTGGTTAACCAAAACAAGAATAAGAAATCCTAAATCCCAGAGTCACTGGCACCTGGACGCCCTGATCCATAAACTCGATACCCTACAAGCTTCATTGGCAGAGCGCCATGTGTTGAAGACCCTTAAGGAGCACACTTCGGCATAAGGCAACGCCAACCACAAAGACCTGAGTATGGATCGCAGGTGCACCTTTTGCGCATCCGGTGAAGAAGACTTGGCTTAGAAGTTGGCACAGACCGCACCCTCGAGACTCGAGGATTAGGTGTACGGTATATACGAAGGGTCTATATTGGATCCGGTCCGGGGGGTCCTGCTGCAAGCCAGACAAAAAATGAGCCCTGTACCCCAAACCAGTTAGACATCATATTTTTTGTTGAAAACGTAAACCTTACGTAGAGCCTTGAGCCCTACAACCAGACATCCACTGTTGCTTTCCCATGAGGTGCTTTGCAATGGGCCTTGGAAACGGCTCCAGTGACAGGCTTGTTTTACGGTTTTACGAGAGTCCCCAAACCCCATAAACCCTCTTACCCTGAGCCCTTTTCGTGTTGGATTTAGGGAGTGCTGGGCTTCGACACTGAGGCTGGCTCTTATAGAAGCTTGCAGAGCTTTGCTCCAGGGGTTTAGGATATAATTAGCATTTATGTAGGGGTTGATGCTTTAGGATTTACCCTTTAAGGGTCCAAGTACCGCATTATCATATACTCTCCAAAATAGTGACCTACAAAACTATGAATTATCCTAAACCCAAGTACCTAAATTGTTGCGTCCTTTGGACCCTTAGGGTTAGGGTAGGATTTCGGGCCTCATAAATAAAGCAGAAACCCTTGCTTCAATCAGTACACACCCGGCAACGCTACAAAGCCCTTTCAGAAGGTACAGGCGTGGGCTTCCATGGAGCCTCGTGGATGTTCTAGGTAGGAAGTGGTGAGTCCCTGCATTCTCAATCAGGAGGTGTGGTTTTGAAGATAGATTCTCTAACTCGATACTCCTGCATGTCCAATTCCCCTTATAAGCCCTGCTTCTGCACCTGTCAAGTGTCTCTTGTGTCGCGAAGTTGTTCCTGCCTTCGAACGTCCCCTGGCAGATGGCGAATTGAAGCCCTTGCGCATCGCCAAAGAGATGGAGTTCTGAACGGGCGCAGACCTAGTCCTAAAACTAATCCTAGGTTTGAATCCCTTGTGGCCTAAAACTTCAGCCCTAGGACCTAAACTACCTAAACATTCAACCTTAAGTCCAAGACTATGACTAAGCCCCAAGACCTAGACTAAAAAAACAAAAAACCCAAGCCCTCTTCAAAAAAAACACAAACTCTCATTTGTACACCCTTGGAGAGCGACACGCGGAAAGATCATAGCTGGAGCAAAAAGCCGACCTTTGCTTCGAGGTTGAAGTTCTTTTGGCCTTTCAGAAGCTTAGGGTTGATAGGGTTAAGGGTGATTCTGACAGGTAACTGAGTCCGTGAGAGAGAGAGAGAGAGAGAGAGAGAGAGAGAGAGAGAGAGAGAGAGAGAGAGAGAGAGGGTGATCCTGGGGCTTTTTGGGGGTCTTGAGGGTTTCAAAAAACAGGGGCAAAAGAGGCAGCAAGGATCTCGGGTGAGTCTCTTTGAGAAGGCAAGCGAGGTGTCCGCTGCGTGGTATGCCTGCGAACCTACCGTCTTTGCAACCATAGACCATCCACTACAAATAAACCGCTAAACCCCATATGCAGCCTACAAAAGACCCGATATACATCCCATAGACTCTAGACCCAAAGAAGTAAGACAGACCCCCTTTATCAATCCTATACAAATCCTAAACCCCTATATCTAAAAAACCCACAGACTCTAGACCCAAAGGCCCTACAGTAGAAGCCAGAAAGTTGGAACATCAGTAGCCTCATGCCCTTAAAGTAAAGTAAGGGGAAACCCAGCATGAATCATCCTAAATCCATGTTCCAACTTTCTGGGGTTCCCTATAAGAGAGCTTCAGGACCACTTTGTCCGGGGAGCTGGGGCCGACTCCCGAAAGCCCGGTCTCCCAGACAGCGAGCTTTGCAAAGTAGCGAGGATTCACGTTTGAGATTTAGGGTTTTGGGTGTAGGGTATAGGGTTCAGGATTTAGGAGTTTAGGGTCTAGGGTTTAGGGCTTAGGGATAGTTGGACTAGTTCTAATTCACGGTTTAGGGTGTGGGGGGTGTAGGAGCAGTCATCACGCTAGTTAGACTAATTAGTTCTAACTCAGGGTTTGGGGTACAGGGGCTTACTAGTGGTGTTACTTATTAAGACAATGAGGATAGGATTTGTATTGGTACTAGTACGAAGAAGAAAATGGCAAGAGTACGAGTGGTTTAGGGTTTTAGGCGGTTGAGGGTTCTACGGTTTAGAGTTTAGAGTTGTAAGCGCTTGCAGTCTCTACGTTGCCCCATGGCGGATCTATCCGGATCTGTAGTTCACAGCCGAGTTCAGATACTAGTTCGGAAGACAGTTCAGGAGATCGTCGACGCTTGTTCACTTTTCGTGTTTCTCTCACTCCCGCGTTTGGATCCGTTGTCAAACGAGAAGGCCCTGCTGCTGTTGAGGAGTGTTCGCTGGCACACAATCCAAGCCCATGCTGAAAAAGAGTTGTAAGGCCTTTGCATAGTCCAGGCGTACAAAGGGTTGGAAGGACTGGCAAGCTCTTTGATCAGTCAGCAGCCTTTGCTTGCTCTTCTGACGGCCTCAACCCGAAACCCTAATCCTGATAGAGGCCTACTGCGAAAGGACTAAGGGCCCGAAACCCTTATATAACCTGAACCCTACCCAGAGGCCCCAAAGTAGTTCCTCTTTGGGAGTACCCTATAGGATTCTAGATATGAACCCCAAAAAAGGAACTACTTTGGGACTTTGGGGCCTTTGGGGAGGCTCCTAAACCCTACATGTTTCAGGCCACGGGACCCGAAACCGCAAGCCCCCCTTACGCGACTCTAGGTTTCAGGATCTGTCGCCCAAAATATCTACCCCGTTGAAAGCATGTAGTTCATAGAGATCTTTCTATATATTTTTATGTATGTTTGATGGAATTATTGATAGAGATAGGTAGCTGGGTAGCTAGCTACGTAGATAGATCGGTTGAGATAGATCTGTAGATAGATAGAACGATCGATAGGTAGGATGGCAACCATAATAAGGAAGCCTAAAAAGGTGCATTGTTGGATCACACAAAGCTGGCACCTTGTCCAGAAACTGTCTACTGAACCCTGGAATCCGAAATCCCGAAGCCCTGCACTCAATGAACCCCGGAATCCTAAACCCGAAGATCTCCGAATCCTAAACCCGAAGATCTCCGAATCCTAAACCCGAAGATCTCCGAATCCTAAACCCGAAGATCTCCGTAATAAAGTTGGAGCAGACAGAGCTGGCCCTGGCATGCTCTGAGGTTTGATCCGCCACCGTCTGCGCGGGGCTAAGATTTCAATGAGCAGGTTTCCAGGGTGGCATCGCGGGGTGTGTGTTTAAGGTTCTATAGTTATAAGGGTAGTTCAGGAGTTTAGGATGCAGTTCCTTTTTCTGTGCAAGCACAGTGAGTGTAGAGTCTGAAGCTGACTCCTCTGACCGTATGCGCAGGACTGACATTCCCCATCCCCTCAAGCCGCGAAGCCCCGCACATGACAGTTGCCAGACATAGCGTGTCTTGAGCACATCACCCTAAACCCTACACCTTGGTGGGCTCTTGCATTTTGATCCCCCGACACCGAGAGGCAGAGGCAATCATCTTGGTTCGTCGGCGTGTTGCGGTGGTTGTCCCATCAATCAGGACTAGCTTTTCTATCTGGGAGTTTCCGGAATTGGGGGTACGTTGTTTTGGGGTCCTTGTATAATAAGGATCCTACTATTTAGGGTACTAGATTTGGGTCCCCTATTTTTAGAAACTCCCATTTAGCGCAGTGTCCAGGTCCTTTTGGGCTGCTGAATGCTGTAAACCCAAGCCCGGAAGTCCCGACTGCCCGTATACTACCCATACACCCCAAAGTAGTTCCTTTTGGGGATTACCTTATAGGATTCTATATATGAGCCCCAAAAAGGAACTACTTTGGGGCCTTAGCGTAAAGCCTCCAACCCAAGCCATATGGGGCTTATGACTAACAAGAAAGATATGCGGCAATAATGACAGCAATCATGGTAGCTTGCAGCATTCTATTTCGTTTAAATTCGACACAGACCTAACCACTGGTTTCGCACTGTTGTACTATGCACCAACATTTTAAGGGACCTCTATACCCCAATCTTCACCGTAGCTCTTAAACTCTAAGCTGCTCGTTCTATGATTGAAGCAGTGCAGGCGCCACGTCCCAAACTGGCGATCGTCGTGAATTGTGAGGATCTCAGCCTCGCCCTCTACCAGGCACTGCTTCTTTTTTTCAGTTCGGAAGGGGGGCGGTGTTTTTGGAATTCTACATGTCCTACGGTTTCTAGGATTTTGTGTTAGGTTTGGGGGTGAGGGGGGGGGGAGTCGTAAACTGGGTTCGGGGTCTAAGGGTTTGTCTCTTTTGGGTTTTGGTGGGTTGTGGATAGGATTGTGGGGGTTCGGATAGGGTGCAAGTGCTTGTGTCATGAAAGGGTTTCAGTTTCGGGGTGTCTGAAAGTTTGGGATCTTGGTAGCATGGTTTTATGGATAGTTTCGTCTTACGGGGATTGGGGATGTTGGCATTCGGCATGAAAGCGACTTTCGGAGGTTTCAACGGTTGGGCATAGTTGTTGAAATTAAGGTGGGTCATCGTGTTTGAGACCTAAACCCTAAAGCCCTAAACCCCTAAAACCCTGAACCCCAAACTCTAACGCCCTAGACCCCAAACTCTAAACCCCTAGACCCTTAACCCCCAAAGATCCGCGGGTTGGCACACCAGGTTGGAGAGCGAATTTTCTGAGAATTGTGATCCCGGACCGAGGTTTAGGGGTTTATGGGTTAAGGGTTTAGGGGTTTGGGGGTTTAGGGGTTGGGGGTTTAGGGGTTTAAGGGTTTAGGGTTTAGGGGTTCAGGGCTTAGGGTTCATTGCAGTTCCTTGCTCAGAAACGGCAACTAGAGTAACTAGAGCTTCCGACCGGTAATTTTTGGTGCAGTGTTTGTTGTGGTTGTGGTTGCGGTGTTGCTTAGCATGTGCTTTTGGAGCGTTGCAGGTTTTCGTGCTCAGCTTCCGGAGATGAGTTGTGCTTATAGCGGCTTAGAGGTTGCGAGGCATAGGGGTTCTCTAGGACACTGCACGGTTTCGATGGGGGAGGAAATTCCTGCAGCAGCAAGTGCTAGCGCCTTCGCTATGAAGGTCGTTGAGGTGGAGGAAAGCGATGATCGGAGACCGTCAAATCCTCGCAACGCGAGGCGAAGCAGGAAGAGGGCAGAGAAAGCCATTGCAGCGGACGATGATGGTCCCGCTCGGGACGTGCTGCACAAGTTGTGTACCCAGAAACAGAAGGAGGAACTGGACCTGGCGGAGGTCTAGACGGTCGTAGACTCACGGAGAAACTGTCCCTGAGAGCCCGATTTCCCTCAGGCCAGGAATGCGTTCCTTATATAAGCCAGCATCAAAGTAGCAGCCTTCATTCTATACTTGCGAAGTTCAGCATCGGGCTTGCTTCAGGGGGTGTTGTTCACTCTGGGTGTCCATTCCGGGCTAGGACTCGTTCCGTAAGCCCAGCGCCCCTGCCCCGATTCTCTAGCATTCCTCAGAGCCCAGAAGATCAAACAGGGAATTCCTTCAACATCACCCTGTTACCGGCCCCGCTACTGAGTCACCCGAGCTTCAGCAACCCCGGAAACCCAAACCCAAAACGAAGCAGCTCCTGCAGCAGGGCTTCGACTTTGATGCGGGGTTGCGAAGTCGCAGCAAGGAGTTTGCTCCGGGCTATAAAACTTAAGCTTAAACCGTACATAGGAACTTCACGTTATAATCCTCACCAAGAGTTTACCAAGGGGTGACCATGGGGGGAGTGTTGTGCGTCAGAGGGAGACCGAATGATAGCCCCAGACCACCCAGGGCCTTCTGCTTGAGGCTCTACAGTGGCATTCTATGGGTTTCTGATTACAACCCGAATAGATAAGGGTTTGGGGTCAGTATTGGTGTGTAGTGACAATTCCCTGAGCCCCTCAGGCGTGGTTTAACCCGAAGCCCTCCAGACGTAA